AGGTCTCTTGAGTGAACCCAGCTTTGTGGTTTGGAGCTCTTACCAGCTTAGATATTTGACCCAAGGTTTCAATACCGCTACAGTATTACTTAAAAGACGCCCGCTTCGCAGAGCGAATTAGCCTCTTATACGCGCTTTGCGTGCAGCGGTCTCATTCCCAGTCCATCTCAAAATTAGTTTTCAAGGCCCGGTTTCTCGACAGACCCCTCAACGTATGAAGCTCCTTATCCAACCAGGGAGTAGGCGTACGGCTAAGAGGTGCACGAGACAGACAAGCCTTACCCAAACTCACACGTAGGGCAGCGGTTAAATTAACCACCGCCTCACTAATGACTTGAGTGCATCGTATCCTTTGTGGCCTCGTCGTGGTCTGGTTACCAAGCTCCTCCTTAAAACACGGCCAGTCCATTTTTTTTTCAAGTTTCGCAATGGCGCAGAGCAGTTTCTTGAAGTATATTCTGATTCAATGTTCGATGTTTATTAAATGGTAATAAAACATCAGATTTTCCATCAGTACACATTTCTATGACCAAATCTGTACACAAATAGCAAAATCAAAAAGCTACAAAGAGTAATACGTTTTGTATTCAAAATCGTATTCGCCAATTAATAAATTCAGCCATACAACTTGTGTAGTTGTAGTGCACATCAATCGAATTGTTTTACGATTTTTATTTCTATTTTTTTCCTAACCATTTGTTATGCGACCACAAGGTCGTTATTAAATACGCTTTTGAAAAACTTCTGCGTTTTTTCAGTATAAAGTGGAGACACACAGCGCTCGCAGTGCTAAATAAATAAAAAAATATCATCTATAACAGTAGCACTTAGACAATTACAACAGTGTCAATGGGTGGCTTGTGGCGGCAGCTCAATTCTACCTACAGCCTGCGCTCAAAAACTCAGAAAAAAAAAATAATGCTCGCCGCCAGTTAGACGCTCACTCAGCGGCAGAGCAGTCAGTGTCAGCTGATAAAATCGGCGCACATCCACAAACTTGAACTTGAAAGCGCTGGCACTAATGGCGCATGCCAATGGCAATTGGCAATTGTAAAGCAATGCAGGCAACTAGAAGTAGAGAATATTTATTTAAGAAAAAAGTTGGGCTAGACAAGCCAATTGCAGGTGAGAAGAATCAATTCTCAATTGCTTATGCTTAACGCTAATGCATGTAAGTATTTACAAGCTTGCATTATTTTCATATTTTCGATTGTGATTTTCAATTTTGCGGTAAATCGCTTGTGGCGCTCAATTATTGGCGAGTCTCAGCGTTGCAAAACATTTAAATTATTTTCGGAATTGTTCTACACTTTTCGAAGCTTTTGATAATTCGAAAAATAAGTTGCATTTAGCGTTTTCCCTAAAGTGAAAACAAAAGACTTAAGCAACGAACCTGACGGCACGAAATGAAAATACCTGCAGCAGTTAGCAAGTAGCGAATTTTGGAATTAGCGACTAATACTTTAGATTAAAACTAAAATTTGTATATTCTTATTCTTTCTATATTCATATAAAATCGCGTTTATGTCAATCAAATGGCTATCCGCTTGCGCCGGTGTCCTTTGTTTTTCATTACATTTCTTGCCTTTGCCTTTTTCATCTGTTCGCATTTACATGAAACTAAGCGCATAGTTACTTGAAATTTAAGTATTCATAAAATGTTTTTTTTTGCTAGTTTTTAATATAGAAAATCGCGCAATGATGCGTAACAATTAAGCATGCAAAAGTTAAGTGGAAAAAAAAATACTAAACAGATAAAATGTTAAACTTTAAATATTTTGCTGCTTCAAAGTTGAAGGTTATTGCGTCAACTGCATAACATGAAAATACATAAAATAGAAATATTAAAATAGATGCCATATATGTACTGCTACAGCTTTTGAACTAACAAGCGAGTCTCCTACTAATTACTTGAAAGTGTGTCTGCTTCTTCCATTCGAAATAGCTTAGAAATGACTCAAACTTAAAGTTCAGGTAATAAGGTCCTCCTTATACTAGCATGTTCAGATATTCAGCTAAATAGGGGAAATTGGATATAAATTTTTGACCGCTTAAAAACTGGACATACATAATTTTTTTCCAATTAAAAATCAGAGAACTACTTTTTAGGCTTTTTAAAACTGAACATAAATTTATGGTCACATAAAAGCTAGACATATATATCTATAGTTAAAAATAGAGCATACATTTTCGTCATTTTAGGACCTGGGAATCAATTTTTAGTCGTTTTAAAACTAGCCATAAACTTATGGTCACTTAAAACCTGAACATAATTATTTGGCCATTCAAAAATTTTGCGAACATAATTTTTTGTCATGCCATAAATATATGGTCATTACAGATCTGTGCATAATGTTTTATACTTCTTAAAATTAAAAAATGTTTTTTTTTCAGTTTTTATGGTCAAAAAATTATTTCTCATTTTCAAATTGTCAAAACTTCGTTTGTTGTTTTTTATTGAGCCAAAAACTTTATTCAAATTTTTTAAATAATCAGAGCTTTGTGTCCAATTTTTGAATGGCCAAAACTTTAGGTGCCATTTTTAAATTACCAAACCTTCGCGTCAAATTTTTCAATTAAAAATAATAATAGATTGGCGAAAATATATTCCTGCGACCCATGAAGCGAGAAAATTTAATTTTCCCCAGGGGGAAACTAACAATCCAGGCAACCCATTTTATAAATCTCTCATTCTTGGTCGAGGCAATGCCGTACACTCAAATGAAGTGTGTTACAAGGTCTCGGTATTCCCAGACCCTCTATGGTTTCCATTTTGGTAGATGCGAAGTGAGCTGTGATTTTATTAGTTCGATAATAAGAACACAAACAAAAACGGTGTTTGTAGTGAATTCAATTGATGACAGACCGGAAAGCCGAAGTCGATTTTCCAAGTATTCATTTCACATTCTACTTCAGGCCTGGAAGGGGCTAAGTAGATAGAAGACATAATGTTCAGTTTGCACTGCGATCCTGGGTTTATTGTGTCGTCAAAACTCATCGCAAGACCTATCCGAGATATCCAGCAGTATCCGGACTGGCATGAAGTGAATATGCGTAATCTGTAGCCACAGGGAACCCTTCTTTTAGCGACTGCGTCCCATTATAAAAGTAGCTCAGTTGTATTGCTGCCGCGGTGGTGTAGTAACGACAGTAATCTTGGAAGCTAATTTCTAGGGTGTTCATGTGAGCTTGCAGCCTACAATGACCCGTCAGTATACTTGTTGAATGCCTTAAACTGGTCTAAAAAAGAGTCATTAGATTAAGTTGGTACGCCGCAGCACATGCGATGTCTCTCAATTGCTTCTTCCATGCAGCGCTTCTCTGAGGCTGCTGCTTACCTTGCTTCCTCATAACCTTACCTTACCCTTTTTTCCAAGATTTTTCCCTTGCTTTCCCTTGAACTGAGACCTTTTGATTTTATCTTTCGCGACTTCTTCACGGTATGTTCTGCAACGTCAGGTCGGGGATGGATGTTGCACGTACTCATGGCACCCGATATACAATAGCGCACCAGCCGATGAAGAATGGTAAACGACCCTCTCACGGAGTTGAAGGCAGTCCACTCGGACAATTCTACTGCTCCATATGTTACTTTTGGCCAGGCTATCATGGTAAAAATATAACCTCTGGAAGACATAGAATATCATCCAGGAAAACGAAATTAAGTTGACCATTCTCATTACATCTAAGCCAAAGTTCTACTATCTCTGGTTAGTGAATGTTCATATTATAAGAGCTCGGAACTCTCGCATTCCCTGTTTTAAAATAAATGAACGATATGGAAACCCACCGTTAGCCGGTTCAACTGCTTATATTTTGCTGTAATGAATATTCTCGTGATCTGAAGGTTATTGTACTTCGAAACGGATTTCAAGTTCAGCTTGGTTACATTTTTGGATGCTTTCTGAAGGTGGTCTAGTAGTTGGAATATCTTTTTAACAGCTTGGCTTTCACTGCAGGCTATTATTTAGTATACAAGCCACTTTAGTTGGAACCATTTCCATAGAGAGATTTCCAGTCTAGTCAGTCCCTCAAGAGAGTGTCTACCCAGCTAGCAGTTATTCCAGAATTCAAAGGATATTTGTCCGACAATCATATAAATATTTCTCTGTGGAAAGATATAATATACAAGCCTGAGCTTGCCTGAGCCTGCCTGAATATGTACAATAAAGCAAATTAATGTATAGAATTAACAAAAACAACCAAGCTCTGAAGTATAAATAGCGGTTGAATAAGGAAATGAATTAGCAACAAGAGCTAGCGAGGTGTCCATAGCTCAGTGGTTAGCGCTTCTGACTTTGCACATCGATGAGGCGGGTTCGATCTCTGCTGAAGTCTAGAAAAAAGAAGTCTGATGAGGAGATGTGGTGATCTCCGAAATAGCTTCTACAACTTCTACCGCTTAGACTTTGTTGCCTTTTCCATTTTTCCTAAATAAATCGTGGTTCAAAGCTCAACAAAGTGTATCAAAGAATGACACTAATTAAAATTTGCAATTAGATTTAGTTTTAACTTAAGAGGAATGATTAAACATACTTTGAGAAATGAAAGCAACTTCATTTACCTTCATGGTATATGTATCAATTAAAGCGCTTTTGACTTCCTAATTAATTGTTTGTGCCATTGGTAAATACGAAAAAGGAAACATAAACTATACTCCAACACGATTAGTTACAATGGCGGAATACTGAGAAAACATTGTTGTTTTGAGATAAGTAATAAACCAAATTACCCGAAATCAATTTTGCTGACTATTTAAATTTAAAAGCAGAAATATAGTATTTATTAAGCTTTGCTAATCGTGGTTTTGTTTGTTAACAAAATCACGTAAAATTTTCATTACGGCTATTGAATGTATAATTTACTAAGTACTTATATTTCGTTACAAACTTAGTTTAGTTTGTAAGTTTTTCTATTTTTATTTAATAATTATTTTTTTTTACTATTTCCTGTAACTAATTTTATTTTCGCTTTCTCTCCACTTCTCCGTTTCTTTGCAGGTACATTCACAAATCAAAACAATACGATCGGACCAAGCGCATTTGAAAAATAGCCGTTTTGGTGGCGAAGTATTTTTTCTTAATCTCGAAGATGGCAATTTCGGTTGTCAAGTTAATGAGTCTACAGATTATTTACAAATATTCGAATTATCGAAATTATGCGACGGCAGGCGAGATTGTTTTCTCGGTGCCGATGAGCTGAGAGATGAGCTCAAATGCACAAGTGAGTAATGAAGTATAAATAAATGATAATAATAAGTTTACAATTAAATAAGAGCCTTTTTTATAAGACAATTCATAGGCATTAGGCAAGATAGTTTGAAAGATTTTGTTTGTACTGGCACGAGAGTCTTACACTAAAAACCTTCCTTACAAGCTTTCATGGTGAAAAGCTCTTTTGACAGATAGCACTGGAGCATGCTCCAAATGGAGATGTATATTATTTTGCTCGCACTGCTCCAACGGTTGCAATGGCCGAGTGAACAAAGCGCTGGCGAGTGATCCGAGGTTCGCATCCTCGGACCGAGAAATTTTTTTCTTTTTATTTAATTCATTTTTTTCTATTATTTTAGGATTATATTGAAAAAAAAAATATATATCTAGCCAAAGATGATCTCTGGTCACCACTTAGTAGCGGTGTTTTTCTGGCATTTCTTCTCTCCGTAGCGTATCATTCCCAATCTGCATTTCTGCGCACTTGCGGCCATCTTTCCAATAATTTCGATGTGCAGTGCCGACCGCTGCGTTATTGGCGAACTTATCAAAAAGGAATAAGGGTTCGAGTGAATTTAATTTCAAAGTCACCACCAAAATACTTTGGTTTTCTCTATTCCCATCTCACAAACCACTATCATAAATTGTCAGAAGTTAGAGGCGAACGAATATATGTAGGTAGGAGAAAATGTGCCCGGGGTGGATGTTAGGGCAAGCCCGCGGATAAGCAACATTAGACCCTATTCCTATAGCCAGTATACCGCTCAGTTCATCCTGTTGTGTGCATTCCCTGGCATGGCACCATTAAACCTACTTAAGTCCTCGCAACAAGGAGAACGAGAGATTTAATTTAAGAAAGTTTCACATACAATTTTTTTAGAAATTTTTAACTCTTATATTTCATTTAGAGCTAAGAATCCGCTGAACTCTTTTGTTGAATCGCTTTCATAAATAATTGCAAACCAGCAGCGCCTTTTTTTTATTTACACCGCTACATATGTATGTACACTAAATATTGTTACGGTGTTAAATTGTAATTTCCGTTTACGCTTTAATTGCAGATGACTGTGATAAGGATGGCACTCAGTGCACGAATGGTGTTTGCTTGAATGGCGTTTGCCATTGTAACGACGGCTTTGGCGGTTGTAATTGCGTTGAGCGAGGTGAGTGAGCGATAAATCTATAATACATATGTATCTATATGATTGAGTTATTTTTTCAACGACTACAACTACAAATTGTATTGCATTTACGTAGTTTTGTATTCGTAGTTGTACACAATGTAATTAAGATTTATTGTTAAGTTTGTGAGCGGCGCGAATTGGTAGAAAAGGATTTCCTTCGATTAGGCTGTACATAGATAAAGCTTTAATGATTACCAGTGTTGTAACAAATGTATTTATGTAAGATTTCTATTGGAGATCAACAAATGTTATTAAGTGTTAAGCGTAAGATAGTTTCTTCGTATGCTTTTACGAATAGACAGAGAAATATTAAGTAGAATGCAGAGCCGATCATAGACTTTTCTTCTGTAAATGTGATGAAAATTTTAAATACTGGCCTATTAAACTAACTAAAGCTTCTAAAATATTTAATATAATTTTTAGCATTGCTAACTAAAGTAGTTTAATAATAGTTATTAATATAATTAAAGCTTATAAATTAGTAACATCGCTTAAATTTTGTATCTAGGTAGTAACTGAACTAATCTAAATTGGCTGAGTATATTCGTTTATTAAGCTAGTAATTAAGGCAAGCCATCGAACAACGTTAGCTTAGGTTTCGGCTGCGAGCACAGTAGTTTGAAATCGTGGATCATGACCGCTTCTAAAAAATTTACTATGAAGGATCGGGAGATCTCAAGCAAATTTCATGTCCACAGATTTGGCATAATTTTCCAAAAATTTCTGAACCCAGGAACTTCCTCCTTCTCCTGCAAAGTGTTTTGGTAAATACAGACAATAGATGGCTTAAGACTACAGGTTATCGTACATCTCTGTAGCTTCTTCTGCAGAAGTTATTGCGATGGTTTCCTCCTACATATCTTCCAATAGCAGGGTAGTCTTCAGTTTTCAGCCTTACAGCAGAAGCTAAGGCTTTCATATGTTCAGGAAGTATTTTACTTTGCAGCAGGTGCTCAGACTACTTCACCCAATTATTAGCAATTCCCTTGAGAGATGATCCCCTTATAACGAGGTTAAAGAAATTGACCAGCATGCTTCCTTAGCTGGTGAAAAGAGCACTCCTCAACCATCCTGATTTAGGATCTGAAGCAGTCCGATATGGTTTTGAACAATATTCATCTAGTTCCTTGGTCTTCTGAGCAGAATTAGTTCATTTAACTTAGGATTTTACACCCTTTAAAAATCTTAAGGGCACGAACTGGGATCTCGGGAGTCTATGTTCAGCTCTCCCGTATCTGTAAGGAACTCGGCCTTATCAGATAGCTTGGTATTGGGCGCGTGCTTGCAAGTTATTTGTGCGGATTTAAAGGGTGGGGTGGGAAACTAGGCAATTGTTAGCGAGGAGCTGCTTATGAATCCTTTCAGTGCGCATTTCCCGTGCCCCAGGAGACGGAATATGGCGGTAAAATCTTGTGGGACCTGTTTAATAAGCATTGTCTTGCTTGGAAAATAAACTCTTTCAGTCCTTTCAAGTCACCGCAAGCAGGCATTCTTGTAGCACGGAACTCGTCCTATTTACGAGGAAGTATAAGATACCCCACTTGACTCTTACCCCACCTGGTGCTTCCCGAAGCACTAGACTAGTCAAAAATCTGGATCGTGTATACATAAGGGATGCACTCAGACTTAGAGGCACTGGGTGCATAACTGACTCAGGAACTGAACTGCTTAACTGTATCATGTTGCGCTCACAGTAGTTGGAAAATGCGTAGTCTCCCTTTTGGTCGCGTCTGAGTACTTTCTTGCTAGATTTATATCGGATTTTCTGTAAGCTAGCCAAGAAAGGCAGCCCCGATCGGTCACACGGTCTCGATAAAAAAGGGAATAGGAAAATCTTTGTCTACATTGCGTACCACTTTTTGGGGTTCGTCTCAGCACAGCCACCAGTCGAGAACGTACCAAAGTCGGTCAGGAGATCTCCTTAGGTTTACGAAGCCGTGAGCGTTCGTAGTGGTATTACAAGGGGTCGTTGCTATGGTATAAGCGTACCCATTTTTGGCGCGAACCCCTTTGTCTAACCAAAACTAATCTAACTTAACCAAAACAGTGATACATAGAACACTGGATAGAACGTACTTTTCTGAGTTAATCACCCTCCAATGTCGATTGCATTCTACTTGGGTTTAACTTGTATGTCATTGTACATAGTTCATTTTCAGAGGATTGGTAAGATTTAAGACTCGTCGGCTGGCCATTAGGACGTTTTGGATTTCGAAGTTCCACCGTGCTTGTTTCCTTTTCTCTCCTGGTTTATATACGGGACAGGCCTCATTGAGAGCTTTATTCTACGTAAAAATTTTAGTAAGAGCTCTAAAGATTTGGGGTCTACATAGAAGCCATCGATATATGTCGCTACAAAATTAGGATTAGGAGGTTCAATCTTTTCCAATTCCCCATCAGAGGGTGTTATGGTAAAGAAATAATTCTACAGATTAAAAGGCGGTGCCTCAAAATCTTACCGAATTACAAATTACCTGTCTACATGTAGAAAGTACGACAAGGATTCTTTAGCTTTTGTCGGCTTTTAGGGCAAAGCCGCTGAGGTCATCAAGCACGCCGCTGTCTGAAAGTTGATAATATTTTTTTCTAATTAAAGACTTATTCAGTGATGGCCAGTGCAGAGCCAATTGGCACATACGATCACTTTGTATATGTAGTGAGCAAGGTGAGGTATCAAGCTCAACTTATGCAGCCCCATAGGGCTGTTATAGCCCTTCTAATGTGCTCATTTACATTGCGCGGCTGGGTTATCTTTCAGTTTTTTTCCGGATTAATATTTAGGGCAGTTTTCATGAGCCAGTATTCAACAGCACAAATAGAGGCTTGAACTGAAGAGCACATAAAACTTGGGTATTCACCGTGTACTTCCGTAGGTGTGGGGAGAAGGCGCCACCCACTAACCCAGCGCGAGTGCTTTTTAAATGGTAAAAAATACACATAAATATAAGTAGCTAATCTTATTTTAAAATCTTGTAAACTATAATTTTTATTAATAACGAAAAATGTAACTAATTAGTTAATCTTTACTAGAAATAATCCGCTCTAAATTATTGTCTGCACATTTTAATGCAGACGAAAGGTTTACAAAAAAAAATCTCCGAAGGTAAGACTTTGATTAAATTAAAATAGCACCTTTTTTAATTGCTTTCAATTCTTAGCTTTCGTCTTAAGATAATGAATATTAATTTAGCTTAAATATGTAATATTAAAGAACTAATATGAAAAAAGGGAAAATCAATTTCCGCTAATTTAATAACCAATGAACTCAATCAACACAGCTCGCCAAGAAAATGAAATTTAAATGAACTTTTTACGCTACAAGCTCATTTAGCTAGATTTCTAATGCCACTAAAAATTAAACGTTTTTAAGATTGGTAAGAAAAACCATAATCAATAGTAATTACTTAAACACAACCATAGCAGTAAAAGCTAAGCTAAGTAGTTAAAGCTTATTTTAACACAGTAGCTATTAAATTACGAGTAACGAGTTAACGAACTACATAAGCTTACAAGAAAATTAAAAATAAACATAGAATATATTTATTATTATACAACCAAATCAACCGAAACAACTACAACAACAACAAAAAACAAAAACAATAACTCAACATACATACATACCTACATACATAAGTACTAAGTATAAAATGAAAAACTCATTATATTCTATAACAAAAAAAAAAAATAATAAAAAAAATTAACGCCACTGCTGCTGCACTGTTAATTCTAATGCGCTTCATCCTTCACGCTTCCAGATGAAAACGAATGCAAATATCGTCCATGCGACGTGTTTGCGCACTGCATCAACACGCTTGGCAGCTTCACGTGTACCTGCTTTCCCGGCTATCACGGCAATGGGCTTCACTGCGAAGGTAAGTTAATTTTGCACGCTTCGATTTAACACAGCACCACAACACACATATACAAATGTAATTATATATAGATATACATATACACATCCATACACTCACACTTGAATATATTTTTAAACAATTAAAATTGAGCTTAAATGCTAAGCAAAAACATTATCGTATTTGTATGTAGTGAGTTTCTAAGCCTAAATAAAACTCATCAACAATGGCAATGGCGGCGACACGGCAAACAGCAAACAAAAACATTTAAAAAAAAAATACAAAAACCAAAGTAATAAATGTAATAGAAAAAATTAGTTTTGGAAAAACTAGAAATAATCACAAAAGCGTTAAATTCTTAGTTTGCACCCTAATGTTTTTACTTATACAAAAAAAAAATACTCGCTTACTTACTTACTTATAAACTTACCAACATAGTACTTACCAACTTACCTACGTTTTTCTTTACGACGCGTTCGTTTTTCTACTTTTTTCATTTTACTTATTTATGTATTTCTTCTTTTTCACTTTATTTGAATATTTTATGTTATGCTGGGTTTTCTTTTTTATTGCTACAACAGTGTCCGCTCAGCTGGCATTTTCTCAATTGTTTATGTATTGTGTATTGTAGTAAATATTAACTTACCCAGTGACTTCTTTCTGTTCGTTCGGTTGGTCAAGCAGCAATGTTTGAGATATTTCCGTAGTGGCGGCAGCAGCAGCAGCAGCAGCAGCGAGTGGTCATCGTGGAGTGGCCATCTGATCAGCGCATTTGTTTGATTCAGAATTACCAATGTACATATCGCTTGCTATTACGAGGGATGATCCAAAACAAAGTGTATGAAATGGACACAACTTCGAGACGAGGGACTTAATCCTTTTCTCACTTGCTCTTTCCAATGTAATAGAGGCATTATTCTTCTTTCCATAACACAGCTTGCGCGGCAAGTACCTCCTCCATCGTGACGGAGCCTGGTCTCGAACACTCCAAAAGCTGCCTCATCGCAAGAGGTCATGCAGTCCGTGCTACTGATTTATACAACAGTAGGTGGCAAAGTTGAAAAATCTTTGAAAAGTTATAAATATGTACTCGTTGCTCTTGATCTATTAAAAATAGAAGCGAGCAAAGAGAACTTTTACCTTTTGTCCGTTCATATAAATTCTATATCAGTTCTTAAAATGCTTCTCTCGCTGGATGTGTTTTGGTCCTGACTGATTTAAAGCAATGACGGTTAGAAAAATTTTGTGATCTCTACAAATCCGTATAAAATAAATTTAAAGCTCTAAAAATTGTATCTTCCGTGAAGACAGTGTTGGCCTGTCAAATTACAGAGTGTCTTCAAAAGTTTGGTACGCGTACCAACTGTGGTTTATATTAGCCATTACCAAAGTCTAACCCACTCTCTTTTTAACTATTCTACAGTAAGGTTCTTAATCAATAGACGAAAGCTTGGTCTACTTTGTAGTTTTTAGGCTAGTGGATATGAAAATCACGGCATTTTTAAGTAATTCTAATCTTTGATAAAACAAGGCGTATGTCCTAGGTACTCATGAAGTTTCATCTGTGAACATCTGTGTCCCGAACTAGACCCGGAAAGTTCTTCAAATAATCCCGGAGTAGTTCCGACATTATCTCGAACTATCCCCGAAAAAGTCCTGAACTAGCCCCGAAATCGGCCCAAACTACATTTGGGTTTTGCGAGATTATTTAACAACATAATTTTTAGTTACGGCTACCCACTAGAACAGCACTCCATATAGAACCATGGATCGTACTATAGCCGTGTACTTGCAGTGAAGAATACTGTGCCTCAATCCTAATAAATAGGCCATCACCTTTTGGCTGCATAGATGGCCCCCTAGGGCTTTCTTCCTTCCCGAAGGTCATACTGCTTTAACTAGTTACGGGCTGAGGAATGTCTTTGTACCATGTGTCCTTTCTATCAAGTTCTGTATGTTAACTAACGCTGTTATATCGAGATTTACAATGTTTAAATTCTCATAGTTAAGAAGTAGTCACAGGTAAGGGGCTTTACTGGACTCGGCTAAAATCCCTTACAGGACCAAACAAGAAGATCAATCTGTTACTGCTTCGAAAACAGCACTAGAAGTGGAAGAAACAGAGCTCTAATTGGGGTTCCAGTTAGAGCAGTGAATGAGCCAATGACCAAAGCGCGAAGACCTCTTTATGTCAAGAGCAGTAATCCATATCATTTCGTTCTGATTTGAAATAAATATGTGATGGTTACCTTGTCATGAGGTAGTTCTAAACATCTTCCTATTCTAATACTGGACGCACTTGAAAATTCGTCTGTTAATGAACACTCAATATGAACTTCCTAAACCAACCTGTAATTAATAGTCCAAAAAATATTGATGCCTCAAAAGCATTTTCAGATTATATTCAAAAGTTCCTTCAGCCTTAATTTTGGCCCTGTAAGTACCCTTCACCTCAACTCTTTCAATATCCCTCGTAAACCGAAGCGTTATGCTACCTTCTTTCTATCACACCGAGCCGCAGCAATAAAGCCAACAGATGGAGTGAAAAAAATAGTTAAAGAAAAAATGTATATCAGCATGAAAAGGCATTAAGCGAATTCTATAAAAGCAAGCAGCTATAGAATATATATATTTTTCTAAGTAAGCTATAGCATAACGGTTTCAGCTATAAAATGGCTTTGAAGAAACAGTAGAATAATAGAAGAAAATGTTAAGAAAAGAAAAATGTAGTAAACAAAGAGAAGGGGTTTGGAGCCAAGTAGAATGGCGCATTGTAGCTGAAGAAATGAGGTGGAGTTTTTGCGGAAAAACGGCGGCGCAATGCAAAGTGATACTTATCTAAGCAGACATGCATACACTGACATATTATATTCACACACGCAGACAAACAATTTTGCGGCATAATGCTATAAATATGACTTTAAACATACACAACTTTATTTATTTAGACATATTTACGCATACACAGCAAGCGGCATTGTAAAATGACACGGCATATATGTAAAAGTTGACTTGGACCATGGCAGCGTGGCGGCAAGGCTATAGCAAGAACACATGCACACAAGCAAGCCTTATAAACGATCAACATAAATATGAATTTGTATACAAATCGTAGCTTTGCAATAAACATCAAATAAAGAACGTATGCAAACTAGATACTCGCACCTAAGAAAGCGCACAAGCTACCAAACAAAAGCGTAGAAAGAACAAGAAAGCCTAGGAAGCGCTTAAATCTGTGCAAGTTTACTAACATTACATATAAGTAGTTAAATAGATATGTAGACACACAGGTAACTCGCTACTGGCTCACACCATCGGCTATCCATACTTGGCTATCTAATGCCCATCTGCACAATTCTTTCTACGTAAATATTTGTCGTTATATGTATTACTCGTCCAGCTGTTGCCGCAACGCGCCACAAACAAACCGGTCACCATTAATGTCTCCTGCTATTAAATTACGTAATAAAGCGAAAAAAGTAGCACAAGATCATTTCCTAAGTTATTCAGTGTGGTTGCCTGCGACGAGAAATGGAAAAAGTAGAATTCGTTTATATGGCCCGCATCTTAGACACTGGCAAAGTTTAAGAAAGTGTAGCTGGAAGAAAGCCGTTTACAGGAAAGTACATATGTATTTAGATAGATAGATAATTGCACGGATTTGTCAGAAAAATAAAAACTGCGACCTGAAAGGTATTTTCTATATGTAAAGCATGTACCTAATCCGTTATGCCCAAGACGCACTCGGCTTTCGCAATGAATCCGAAAAGGACCTTGGTAGTCGAATTCCTTATTTCGAAGGGTTTGACTAATGATGCTTTGAGGTAGGTAAATCTTTGTGTAGCCTAGGTTAGGCAGTCAGAAAGATTGTATTCAGAAGTTTCCCCATCCTTAAGGCAGAGCCGGCATTCCGATTCTCCGGCTGCACCTATTCGGTATAATTGCATAACATCCCATCTGTTGAAAGAGCAACCAAAGAGCTTGACCTTTCTATGGGCCCCACACAGTAATTATGGATCATCTATGGCCACCGATCGGATCCGGTGATAAGAAGGCAGTAAAGGATCCTTCTCGCGCCAACTCGTTAACGCCTTCGCTTCCTTTGATTCTCGGCTCGGGATCCAGGTATCTCGAATAGATAAATGGGTAAATTTGTGGCAGTTTAGAATTTTTAAAGTTTCTGCCTGGAACACTGTGGGCCAGATCTCCTTTAGTAGATAAATATCTACTTTGACGGTCCAGCGGCAATCAGGACTCTAGGATCGCCAAAGTTACGAGCTGGTCTTGGAATCCTTAAGGTCTATCGTTATCGCTTCGTATTATTTACAAATAAAGCCGAAATTCCCGACGTAGAAAGTGGCTTCTTGTGTAAAAAGTCTGAAAATAAACATTTCTAGACTAGATTCGGATCGTCTCAGGATCGTTTCGGGCCCTCTTCATTTAGGGACTAGGTCATTACTGTAGTTCAGGAACATTTCTTTACTAGTTCTGGACTATATTTAGCACCATTTTGGAACTAGTTTGAGATCATTTTGGGGCTTAATAAGGGACTAACTGGTTCAGTACTACATCAGGACCTTTTCGTAGCTGTTTCGGAACCATTTTGAACCAAGAGCGTTTCAGGACAAATTCAGGGCTAATTCAAAACCAATTCAGGACAACTTTCTGACTATTTCAGAATCATTTTGAGGTAGTTGGAAACTAGTCGCAGAATGAAGAGTCGTGTACTGGCCCCGACAATTTTAATAAAATAAAAATAAAAATAAATTTTTTTTTTCTTGCCTAACCTAGTTATCTATATAGCTGAATGGCCTAGTGATTTGCCAAGCCGTACACAGATGTTTACACATCGAATTTCACGTGTACCTGGTACCCAGACATTTCCTATGTTAAAACAATGAAGCATTAAAAATATTGGAAATAACAAAGTAGTTTGCCAATTAAGCCGTCAGCTCAACAAAAACAAAAAAAAAAGCTTAACTTCCAATATTGTGTTCTAACTACTATTATGGATAACTCTC